TCTCTCTCATCTCTCTCTCATCTCTCTCTCATCTCTCTCTCATCTCTTTCTCATCTCTCTCTCATCTCTTTCTCATCTCTCTCATCTCTCTCTCCTCTCTCTCTCTCTCTCCTCTCTGTCTCTCGTCTTTCCGTCTCTCTTCTCTCTCTTCTCTCGCAGGAGGATCCGGGCAAAGAGCCACATGTAAAGGACTCTTCACCCCTGCCTCCAAAAAGAGCGCCGTGTTTTTTCCTACCTCGCTGCCCTCCACTTTCCCATTCTGGAGCACTAACTTTCACCCCCCCCCTTGGCCTCAAGTTCTCACTCTCACTCGCATTCGCACTCGCACTCACACTCACACTCATACTTACACTCACTCTCACCCACACTTACTAACACCCACCTTTACTCTTATTTACTCATTCACACTTACACTCACCTCACTCTCACTCTCACCTATACTCACTCTCACTCACCCTCGCACTCATTCTCCCACTTTCACTCACGCTCACACTCCCTCACTACCATCACCTCTTTGGACCCCAATGCGTCTAGATTTCTAGACTTTCTGCTCATAGACCTTATATATATTATTTGGGATCTTTTGCCGGAATAATATTGTAAATAAATATTGATTTCATAATTCGATTCGAATATAGAAAACATATTATATTCTATATTTTCTTTTTTTTTTTTTAAAATATATTATTATCATATATATATATTTTTAAAATTAATTAAATAATATATATAATTATAATTTTGAATAATTTTATATTTTTAGAACTATATTTTTAATATAGATAAATGAATTAATATAAATAAAAAAGAAAATATAAATAAGAAAATATTAATATATTTTATTTAATAATAATATTTATTTAGATTAATTTATATATTTCTTTAAATGAATAGATAAAATTCGGCCGTATTGGGCTAATGGAAGGTTAAATTAACGGGTTTTTTATGTTTTGAAATTATTTTAGGAATAATAATTATATTAATATAGATTGGAAATAAAAATTAAACGACAATTAACGAAGATTATAATTTTCTTAATGTGCTAATTGAGTTATAATAGTCGCTAATGAATTTAGTGATAGAGTAGGAAGTGGTTTGCTTTATGTTAGGCGATTAAAGAAATCCTGAGGAATTAATCATAGGAGGTAGATATTCCGGCAAAATTCATTTATACGCATCTTTTTTATTGGATGGTTTAAAATTATTATCTAATAATATTTCTCTTGAATGAAAACTATCGTTGAATCTTCTTTTAGATGGGTCATTCTAACAATGATGAGGTATGGCACCCATTCGATTTGAAGACCTGACGCATATCGAAAGGCGGTGTTAGCTGACCGAACACATGTTCTTACAGCCAAGATCGGAATAACATTCGAAGAATACAAATATTGGCATCAGGTGAGCACAAGGCGCAATCACCTAGGAAATTAACCCGGCATGGATCTAGCGGTCTAAGCTCTGAACACGTGAATAGGCGTGGGAGAGGAGCCGTCCATACATCCCAATCTTTAGGGGTGAAAGGCTCAATCATGGCCAGTGTCCATACCTGCGTTTGCAGCGTGCTGTTCAAGTAATAGGTGGCTCCTTTCGAAAAAAGAATATGGGTGCGCATCCAAGCAATTACTTCCTCAGCTTGTGGGAGATGGCTGTTGCCAAAGGAAATCTCTGTAGACCTGTCGGGCGAATCCGAAACAAAGCAAATTGAGTGATTCAAAGCAAGCTGCTGGGTGATTCCAGCTCGCTTCCCTGAATTGTATGCAATGAAATCTTTAATTTCTAAGGAATAGCCGTAGCCGCGTCCTGTGGAAGAGTATCTTGCTTCAGGGGCCGTAGAGCTGCAAAGCGATGCACAAGCTAGGGATTCTTCGTCAAGATCTGAAGTCGTTGCAGGATCTGACACATCTCCTGTGTGTTGATGGGCGTCTACTTGATTCGGAATATTGATGCTTTTGCATCCTATGCCAGGTAGTTCTATTTGCGATTAGATATAAGGATTCCCCTCGAGATCAGAATCTTCATAAATTCGTCCTCGCTTTGATCCAGGCGGAATTTTCCAGCGCGATCGATTAGAGCTTATATTATCTCCTGGAACAAGGTTTGTCGTAAGGGGTTAGGTGGCCTCCCCGGCCTGCTTCCGAAGGTTCTAAAATCGGGATCATTCCAATAATTGGATTTAGATTGCTAGGACCGCGTTGGGCAAAGATCAAAAAGGATCTGTCCAGATTTATCGATGTAAATCCGCCTGCTTCCCAGACCCGGTGGATGTTGAATCCGAGGCATCGGAGGTCTTTTGGAGTGATCTCGGGTCATTTGGCTTCCGTCTATTGGATGGGGGATTTCCTCGATTCTCTTGGAGAAATATTCCCCGTATGTCGATAATAAATCCTGATAGGATTGGTCGTCTGCAATCATCTTTAAGTCGGAGGCCATGATACAAGGTGGTGGCGCACAATTTTGCAATCCAATCTTGATATATATGGCATTCAAGACGAGAATTTGAATATGGATATTTTCATATATGATATATATGCAAGGCGCACGAAATACTGGCTACATTGAGGTCCAAATCCACGTTACCGGAGCATGAAGGCCAATAATTGCGATGAATCTGAATTTCTGGTCAACCACGAAGAACATAGAAGGCAATTCACAAAAATGAACCCAAATAGAGGTTGATTGCAGATATCATTGCAAGTGTGCTTCCAACAAGAATAAGGGAGCAACACAGATCTTCAGATCAAATAGGCTTTTAGTAGACCAAATAAGTTCTACCGCTGGGGTCGGAATCCAGGCAGGTCCTTCATCAAGAATCAATTGAATATTAATGGTCTGATCGATCGAATGATGCACGGGGTCAATGAATCCTAAATCAAAGAATCCAGAATTAAATTTACAAAGATCTCATCAAATTATTTTTGCTTAATTCATTTACAAAATAAAATTAAATATATATAATATCGATAATATATTTGAAATACAAAATCCATCATAAAGATATAATAATAATAATTATATACAAATCGTCCAACCATCATACCATTAGGCCGAAACGGAAAATTCGAAGGGCTAATCTACCTAATACTCTTTCCGAAAATAAACAATAAAAGCCTTCCGATCCAATTGTGCCTAGCAAACGGAACAATTATAATAAATAATCCATAATTAGAAAAATCACCATCCATTTTTTAAGAAAACATATACGAATAGAAATCTTACCCCTTATTTATCAAAATAAAAATATCAATAAAAAAAAAAATCCGACTTATCAATCAGAAAATAATTCATGTGAACCATAAATCTTTAAGACGACTAATATGCATAAAATCAATTAATCTATGATATCCATAAATATATATCCTAAATTTCTATATCAATATCCATAAATTACGATTCATAAAAAATTTAAATATTTATCAATAAAATCATTATATATATTCTATCAATATCAATATTATTTATATATATATATTTTATATTATTCATATCATTATAATATATATTATTAATCCATAAGAATAAATATATATTCCTACGAATCAATAATTTCATTTTATTGCGTCGTATTTTCCAGGAATATATAATTATTATCAATTTTTAATATTTAATAATATTTATCATTTCCTAATATCAATTCTAAATAAATATCATATATATATATATTTTTTTTAAATTTCCAAATCGAGATATTTAATTCTAATATATTTCGGACATATGCTTCGTATCATATAGAAATTAAACATATCATTTTCAAAAGATAAATATATTTCGATTGAATCGAATACCCCAATCCTATATAAACTAAATACCTTTAAAAAGACAAACCTATATTAAACAATATATATTTAAAATTACACGCGTAATACTTCCGATTAATAAAAAGAACATAATATGTATAGATATTTATAATTCATAATATAAATAAAAATACTATTAAATTTAGGTATTTTTTAAAATACTACCAATATTTAATCAAGACATATATTTTGCGGAAATACAAGGTCCAACGAAGCCAACTGTCATTAAAACCGCATTTTAAGTCCCAGCTTATCGGTTGCACTGTCACCAACGACCGTCG